AGCTGTTGGTGTGAGTCCATCATATCATCCAATAACAACAGAATTATGAAAGCTTGTGTTCTTCTTCCTTTTTTTTGCCTCTTTTGTCTTTGTTATTATGTGTGTTTTTAATATCTTATCCTCTGTTATCATTTATATATTAGGAAATATTCAGATACATTGTTAATCGATTTGTCTGATCAAACTTTTGCTTTTGCTATTTGTATACAAAACTGATGTGTTTGTTTGCTGCTTGTCGTTTTCCTTTTCCTTTTTCTTTTTTTTTGTGTTCTTCTTTGCGTGTGTACAGATAGAATTTTTTGAGTGAATGCCGAATAAAAATTGAAAAGACAAAGAAATCTATCCATTGAAAAAAACAATTTTTATTATTTTTGTCATATTTCATTGATGATTCCATTAGAAAGCAGTACGTTAAACATATGTGACACTTTTCTTTTTCTTTTTCTTTTGCATTATTCTTTATGTCAACCATTTATTCGCTGTATAATAGGTGTATTTAATTATCCTGTCACTTTTAATGATATAGTTATGTGTTTGCTTTGTTGCGTTGAAAGGTATCGATAAGAATGTTATGAATTGTTTAGACCGAAATCAACAAAGTAAAATGTGTTTTATGCTTGAAGGATTGATGACATATTATCACAAGCATTATCATCATCACTAATATAAGCATCTCTTGACACCAGCTGGAGCATCATCATAGAAAAAGCACTAGCGCAGTAAATTGCTTCGTCTCCTTCCATAAATATATTCTACGTTATCATTGCCTTTCTCAACTCTGATGAAATATTTCTATTTTTGTTGATAGTGTACAAATATCTAAAAGGCAAATGTGTACACACTTGAATTATAAATTTCATATATTTATTCAAGGCGTTTTCTTTTCTCTTGCAACAATCATCCGATGCACTCTTAACAAGTAAGAAAAATTACTTTTCATATTTTCTTCTAATGAATACAGATGTCATACTCTATGTTTGTTTTCGTAATTGTTAAATCTCTTTTTTTTATCCTATTTCAATTTCCAATCCTTTAGTAATTCATATATATATATACTTTTTTTTCGAAAGAAAATAAAGTTAATTCGTCACAAATGCATTACCATCTTATAACTTGAGGAGTCAAAACCGCATCCAATCATATTTGTAATTGAAAAAAAAAAAGAAAAGCAAAGAAAAAGACATGCATATATAGCGACGTCATCATGCCGAACAATCATCATCTTGTCTGAACTCTATTGATTGTCCTTGAAATTTCTTATCTAATATTATTATTTTTACATTATAAAATGAATATAGAATCTTTCTGATTTTTCAGATGACACAGAACAGTACTAGTGGAGCAGCAAAAGATGCAGCTGATCAGAATTTTGATTATATGTTCAAATTACTTATTATTGGAAATTCATCTGTAGGAAAAACATCTTTTGTAAGTTAGATTTATTTATATTATTATTAATTATATTTGCTGAAAAAGAAAAATTTCTCTCTCTATATATATATATATTTCTTTTAGCTCTTTCGATATGCAGACGATTCATTTACATCAGCATTTGTTAGTACAGTTGGAATTGATTTTAAGGTTAAAACAGTATTTCGTCACGATAAACGTGTTAAATTACAAATATGGGATACAGCTGGTCAAGAACGTTATCGTACAATTACAAGTAAATAAGATTAATGGAGTTTCATTCGTTTTTTAAACTCTCATGAGATTATTCAAATATTTCAAAAGACTTTCTTCCCATCAATCTCTTGAGATTTAATCGAAAATGAAAAGCAAAATAAACATATTGACTTTCTCGTTTTTTTTTTTGTTTGTTTTCTTTTATAGCTGCTTATTATCGTGGTGCCATGGGTTTTATTTTAATGTATGACATTACTAATGAAGAGTCATTTAATGCTGTCCAAGATTGGTAAGTATAAAGAAGAAAAAGTCAACGATCGGTTTTTCTTATTTAGACAAAAAAAGAAATTATTAAAAAAAAAAGCGTACATCCAGAAAAAAAAAGACCCATTATTTTCAGGTGTACACAAATAAAAATGTATTCATGGGATAATGCTCAAGTTGTTTTAGTTGGTAATAAATGCGATTTAGAACATGATCGTGCTGTTACACTCGAACGTGGTCAACGACTTGCTGATCAATTGGGTAAAGTTTTCATAAATATATATATGTTGGATGTACGCTTTATAGTTATTCGTTTTTGTGTTTGTTTGAGTTATTTTGCATGTTTTGTATTGTGTTGTGTTTTGAAGGGTTTTACAGATAAAGACACATTCATGGGAGAAAAGCCCGGTGGTACTTGTTGGAAATAAATATGAAATGGCAGACGAAAGAGTTGTTCAGACCGAAGAAGGGCAAAAACTTGCCAGTGAACTCGGTACTTATATTTGAGAAAAACTTGAGTTTTTGCTTATTTATTATTTATTTTTATGATTATTATAATTGTTCTGTGTTTTTTTTAAATTCTCTTTAGGTCTAGAATTTTTTGAAACATCAGCGAAAGAAAATGTCAATGTCAAAATTGTTTTCGAAAGGTAAAAAAACAAAACGACCATGAAAAGAAAATTTGTTTCATAATGAGAAATTTTGTTTTTCCTTTTTTTAGATTGGTTGATATTATATTGGAAAAAATGTCCGATACACCAGAAGATGCAAGTGGTATTGGTCAAGGAGCTAATGCATATGGAAATCCAGGAGGTGGATATAATAAAGGATCTACAAAACTTACAGCTAATGATTCACAAACTAAAAGAGATTCATGTCAATGTTAAAATAAAGATCTGAAAATGAAAACAAAAAAAAAACATACAAACGAATAAATAAATATTATTTCCATTCGATGTTTCCCTTGCGTATTCATTGTCTTTTTTTGTCGTATATTCGTCTTGTGTAAACCAAAAGAAGTTTTTTGTAGTCATTATTATTATTATGTTGTCTGTTTCGAAAGAAGGAAAAAAAGCGACAAGAGAAAACACGATAAAATTTTTTGTTTTCCACTATTTCCTAATTGGATATCATTCCGATGTAAGTCTATGTCTTTTTATATGTGTATATATATTATATGTATATGTGATGTACGTTTTATGTAACTCTTTTGTTTTGTGATGTGACCATGATTTGTTTTTTTCTCTCTTTCTTCTTGTTTGGATGACAAGAACCCTTCGATCTTTTTATTTTTTATGTGCAGTATTTGATGGTTCACTTTCTCAATCGTGTCAGATTGGAGAGTTGTTTCATCGTATCTTTAACCTATTGGTTCTCTTTTTTTTTCTTTTTTGTTTTAACCAAAAAATAAGATATGCATTCAACAAAAAAAAAAAAAATTATCAATTGATAAATTATAATCAATGAATTGAGAGAAATTATTTCGAATATGAATGATTATATTTGTTTTTAATTATTTAAATATTGTGAAAACGATTAGTAGCTTTTTGGTTTTTTTTTCTATTGTTTAAATTGATGGAGACTTGAGTCTTTTTAGGTAAGGAAATTACGAATATTTGATTAGTATTAATAATTAAAGCATGTCTGTTTTAGGTTCATTCATCATTTTTTTTGTTTGCAATGGAAAGTACTTATGTGTAAACTATCTTATTTTAATGGATTATAAACAATTAAAAAGAGTATATGATTCACTGGTTTTAGTCAAATAAATTTCTATATCTAATTTTGTTAATATGTAAGTAATTTTACTATGTATTTTAACTTAATCTTATGTATTTCTCTCGATTGTAGATTAAAATAAAATTTATTCTTTATAATCAAAAATCGATAGTAGACTTGGTTTTTTTTCTGATGACTGTTATGTCAAATATTAATAAATTGATTTATGTTCAATTCTATATGTCTATTTTAATTTTGTTTTTATTCTTATGGGAATTTTTGAGTTAGATAAGAAATCAACTAATGTTTAATGCAACTTTGATTCGTTGGTTATGTCTTGATTGAAGAATTTCTTTTTTGTCAACTATGGATAAATGCTCGACAAACTATTTGGAGAGAAGAGAAAAAAAACCTTGTCAGTTAGGATTAATATTTCATTAAAAAGAAAAAAAGATAAAATATAAGCTGCTATGCTATTTTTTATTTTTTTGATCTATACTGTAGAGAGCCAAGTATATTTTTAAGAATTCTGTACATTTGTAAGCAATTTAGATATTTAACTTCTTGACTTATATATAATTACAGTCAAGTTTTCTTAATTGAATGATTATGTACAATTGACGAAGAATTGAATCATATGTCAGACTGTTCTTATTTATGCTTTAAGACAGTACTTGAATATAATTCTATTATTATATAATTTTATAGCCATTTAAGTCATGCTAACATGAGATAACGTCTGTATTTATTCTATTTTAATTCATACGAGTCTTTTGACTCTATCATGATTTCGATATTTATTAAATTTGATAGAATATGATCTTGGAATGATGTATTATTGTCGTACACATTGAATTCTTTTTCTTTTCATTAGACATTTTTATTATACTGAATTGTACATTGAGGGTAATTTCTTTTTCTTTCTTCGGTTCTTCTCTACAAGCGCACTTTTTTTTTTTAATTAAAAGTAAAAGGCTATAAATAAACAGAACGTAAACATCAATAATGCATCATTATTTTCTATATTTGATAACTTTTGAATAGCGTCGAATTTTGTTCTCGGAAGTTCTTCTATCGTTTTAGAGGAATGAATTATGTGAAATATAATTAAATATATTAAGAAATAAAAAGAACACAGACTTTGTTGTAATAAGACCTACATAACAGAAAAGAAAAAAATCCGTTATATGCAAAAACTTACTAAATCAATATTTTGATAGAATCTTAATGTTACCTTTTATTATCAACTTAGTCTCTTTTGTATCATGGTTCAAGCTAAAATAGTTTAACTATTCTAATTCTATATGCAAAAATAAAATCTGAAATCAGATATATCAATTTTCTCATATTCAAAAAAAACACCAAACTGTTTAATTCTTATTTCAGATAAAATGAATGATGTAACCAAACATCGTATTTGGTATTTATCTTATTAAGATTTTGTTCTAAGCTTGACTTTATCGAATTATTTTGTTTGTTAGTATGGTTTCTGATTTTTTCTATCCACTTATTGGTGGTGTTGAAAATCATATATATCAATTATCACAATGTTTAATTCAACGTGATTACAAAGTAATTGTTGTTACACATGCTTATGATGATCGTGTTGGTGTTCGATATATGATGAATGGACTTAAAGTAAAGAAATTATTTTTATTATCTATAAAAAAAAAAAAGAAATGTTTAATTTTGAATTATTTAGGTCTATTATTTACCATATAAACCTTTTTATAATAATACAATTTTACCGACTGTTTTTAGTACAATTCCATTAATACGTTCGATTTTACTTCGAGAACAAATCACTATTGTACATGGACATTCTGTAAGTTTTTATATTTAATATAAATAGAATGATGTATTTATTAAGAAAATAATTCTTGTGATTTCTTTTTTTTTTTCGTTTTTTTTTTTATGATTTAGTCTTTTTCAACATTAGCTCATGAAACAATGCATCATGCTAAAACACTTGGTATTCGTACTGTATTTACCGATCATTCATTATTTGGTTTTGCTGATTTGAGTTCAATATTAACAAATAAAGTTCTTCAAGTATCACTTGTTGATTGTCATCATATTATATGTGTTTCACATACGTGGTAAATATTTATATAATTTAACGAGGGAACCTTTCCAGGTGACAAATCTCTTTTCGACCGAGACGATGTTTATTTTATGAGTGCTAGAAAGTAATAGAAAAATCTACAATAATTTGGTTTTTTGAACCTTCATTCTTGAGATATCGAAATTTTACTGAATTTTTCAACAAAAATCTGTGATTTCCCTCAGATTACGTGCAAAATCGACTTTCAACTTCAAGATTTGTATGAACATAATTCTTAATGAAATTAGTTAATTGTGCAACTTAGTATTTCCTCTCTAAAGATGTAAATATATGAATAAAATTGACTTCTATGTATGAGACAATTTCGAATATTAAAAATCTCACGAGAGAAGATGGCAGAAGAGTTACAATTTTTTCAATGAACTAATCTCACTAAGAACATTGTTTGCGCAAAGTTTGAAGTTGAAACTTGAAAGTCAATTTTTCACATGATCTGAGGAGAAACATAGCTTTTTGTTGAAAAACCCATCTTAAGAATGAAAGTCCAGAAAATTAAATCATTCTAGACTTTTCTATTATTCATTAATACTTATCAAATGAATATCGTCTCAGTCGAAAAGCAATTACATACTTGGAGAGATTCCCTCGTAAGTTGTGATTTCATCAAATTAAAAAAATATTTACAATCATTTTTTTTTTGTGTTTATCTACAGTGAAATAACTTTTTCTTTTCTTGTTTAATTACAATGATAAAGGAATAAGGAGAATTTGTCTTTGTATTACATAAAATTTGAGTAAGTGTTCTCCTATCCGAGAATAAAAAGTCATGTTCTTCTATTACGGAAATTCACATCGTTCTTCCAAAGGTGACCTTGTATTGTGGACTAGTTAATTGCTAACATCTACATAAAAGTGCTAGTGCAACCCCTGTGAGATTAAAATGTGAAACATGATATAGTCTCTGTTGCTAATCATAGGAGATTGCTTTATTCTATCTATTTTGGAACACGTCTCTTCACCATTCTTTTATTTGAGAAATAAAACAAAAAAAAGTATGTCAAATATTAGAACGAGACGTTATTGATATATGGTTTGTGGGCGGAGAGGAAGATAGATTCAAATTTTCACCCTATGTACTTCGACAATCGTTTTAGATTGTATTTCACAAAAAATCAAAGATTTTTGAGAAACTTTTCTGTTTTTTAAAAATGGACGTTTTTAGCAACTAAGTGTGAAAAAAGTCAGATTTTTTATTAGAAAAAATGTAATTTTAATTAACAAAAAGAGATTTACTCCAAATCCTCAGAATCCGCTGAGTTTCCAAAAAAAAAGATTTTCGAAAACCTATGATCTTCTATTAGGTCTTGTGAAACTTTTCTTGTGGATGGCCTTCTATTCTGGAAGAAGGTTTATGATCAATAAAATATTCTGTTGATTAATATCCTTGTATTCTGATTAGACAGACAACGATGAATCCAAAGAAGCTCATGAAAAAAACTACACTAATGGATGGTTTTCTTGATGATTATGAGCTCTTCTCAGTATATAAACACAAAAGAAACCCCTAATTATCTTCGATTTCTCATATGTTTACAAACTTCATCAATCTCGGTTATAATGTTTCTAGATGAGCTTCTACTTCGAATCATTTTCGAAGCACATCAATTCCATATTAAATCTCAGTATTGAAAAAAAAAGAAACAAAAATCCGTGTTTTTAAATACTTTCTATCTTTATTGCTTAAAAAAGAAAATGTTGTGAAACAAAAACCATGAGTCGATTGGCTATGACGTAAAGAATCGAATAGTATATATTTTATCTTCATTGAAGATCATCTTGGTCATTAAATTGAACCTTTTCTAAAATCAACTATCATTTAACTTGTAGAAGACAAAATTAGGAAAGAAAAATGCATAGAATGACATAATCATAAATTAAAGCAAAATACAATGAAAATTGTTCTTATTACTTTTGTCACGTTTCTTCTTAGACATGAATTAATTATTTTTCATTGAATTATACATCAATCAATAAAGAAATGGTTGTTCTATACCGGAAACTAAAATACATTTCCATAAGATATCGCGTACTTGAATTATCAATGATTTATAAACAAAGTATTTTCTTTCTGATATAATTAAGTCTACCGAGTCTTTTTCTAAAAGTAGCTTTTGTTTTATTTAATAAAAACTAGGATGGTAAAAATAATGTCTAAGAAACAAAATTATATTTTAAAAAAATCGGAAAAAATAAGTAACACCTGTGTTATTTACTTTTATTTTTAGTAAAGAAAATACAATGTTACGTGCTAATTTAAAATCATCTAAAGTATCTGTTATTCCAAATGCTGTAGATTCATCAGCATTTACACCTGATATAAGTCTTCGTCCATCATCATCATCAGATGAAAGTAAAAAAAATGAAAAGAAAAAAAAAATGAAATTAATTTTTTATGTTCAATTTTAGTTATTATTATTGTTGCCAGTCGACTTGTTTATCGTAAAGGAATTGATCTTTTAATTGGTATTTTACCAAAAATTCTTCGAAAATATCCAAATGTTAAATTTCGAATTGGTTGTTTTAAATTAATTAAATAAATATAAAATAAATATATTTGATTATTTTAGCTGGTAATGGACCAAAAGAAATTGATATTCGTGAAGTAATTGAGCGTGAAGGTACTGAAGATCGTGTTGCATTAGGTAAACTTCTTTTTTTTTTATCATAAATATATTTTCAAAAAATAAAATAAACACAAATTATATTTTTTCTTTATAGAGGGTTCAGTTAGTCATGATAAAATGCGAGATTTTCTCAATAGTGGACATATATTTTTAAATACATCGTTAACAGAAGCATTTTGTATGGCTATTGTTGAAGCTGCTGCTTGTGGGTACGAAAAAAAAAACATTATTATTCGTAAAAAAAAAAACCTAATAAAAAGAATTGCTTAATAGCCTTGAAAAATGTTGACTTCCAATTCAGATAATTAGATTATTTTTATCCTTGAGGGAAAAACTTAAAAAGAAAAACACAAAATATTTATTCTATAAATTATTTTTCTTTCTAATTAAAGTCTCCTTGTTGTTTCAACTAAAGTTGGTGGAATACCTGAAGTACTGCCGTCAAATGATACACAATCCGATATAATGATCTTATGTGAAGCTAATATAAATGGTTTATTTGTTGTTGTTTTTTTTTTATAATCAGTTAATTTCATTTGTTTTTCATGAAATAGATGTTTTTATTGGTTTATGTAATGCGATTGATAGAATACAAATTGGTCAAATACCTAATGCTTATGAATGGCATAATAAAATAAAAAATTGGTATTCATGGTATTGGGTTGCACAGAATACAGAAATTGTTTATAATCATATAATATTTCAAAAAACAATTAATCTTAAAGAACGTATTCAAAAGTTTGTTGAAAATTTTTATAAAAGAATTTTATTTTATTTTTAATTTATTATAGATATAAACAATGTGGATTTGTTAGTGGTTTTGTAATGAGTTTTGTAGCTATAATATCTTATTTAATATTTCTTTTTCTTGATTATAATCAACCTAGACGATTAATTGATTTATCTATTGATTATTCAAAAGAAGATTTTGAATAAATCTCTCTTTTTTTTTTGGTTTTTTCTAGATATGAAGTTAATAAAAAATCACTTTGAACGTTTAGCGAATGAACTTATGCATGAAATATTTGATTATTTATCGTCGAATGATTTAATAGAAAGTTTTAGTCATTTAAATAAACGTTTTACTATTGTTTTATCACAACGTTTATTAAAAATTGATTTATCACATTTAACAAAAAGTCAATATGAAAATTTAATTCATATTATACCATCAAATCAAATAAATTCTTTAAAAATTTCACATAAGTCAACCATAAATATATTATTCCGTATTTCATTTAATTTAATGAATAACCTTCAAATATTAATAATATCTCATGTTACTTATAATGATTTACGATATTTATTTGAGATAAAAAATACTTTTTTAACTTTTCAACAATTACATACATTAAAAATTCAATCAACAAATTTTAATGGTCTTGATCGAGAAAGAATATTTGTATTACAAAAAATTTTTTCACAAATGCCAAAATTACGTATATGTCAAATACCATTAATGGATGTTAATGATTTTGATGATTTAATACCTACATTTACATTAGAACAATTAATTATTGATTATTGTACAACAATTTGTTTAGGTAAATAGAATTTTTATTTTAATAACTAAATCTACATAGGGATAGACAAGAAAAAAAAAATTTTTTTTTTTTAAAGTTAAAAGAATAATTGAATAAGAATTAAAAATAAAACTACGATATATGAAGAAATTGTCTGTTTCATTGATGAACTTGCTTTTTTTTCTTCAACAGGAATAGTTTCTTCTATTGGATTCCATCGAGTATATTGATTAATAAGTTCTTGAATTATTAGAATCATTTCATTTCTATTACAAACATGTTTATTACATTTATATTCAAGTAATTCATTGTCATTTTCATTTGGTTTTGGTGCATGATATTCAATAGAACTAAATAAAGACGGCGAATTTTCTTCTAAATAACATTTTTGTTGTTTTTCAGTTCGTTCTTGATTCAATGTATAATTTTTCTGACGTACAAAACATAAACCATATCCACATAATTCTGACGTTTTAGTACCTGTTAAATTATTATCAATACAATGTCGTTTTGATGATTCACCTATTACTGCCTTAGTTGTATATAATTTTCCTTTAATTTTATTCAATTGTTTTTGGCCATCATTAACTAAGTCATAAATTGTATTTAAATAAAAATCTCTTGCACAATCATTTTTTGAATTACAACGATATATTCGTGTTACTTCATTTGATTGAGTTCTATGTTTTTTAAGATCTAACCTTATTTCTTGAGTAAGATATTCACTTGGTTTGCGATCTTCGAATATATTTGTATCATTACTAGCTTGAAATTTAATATTAATGTCTTCAAAATCATAATTGATACGATATTCAATAATACAGGCTAATGCATAAGCCTGAATATTTGTCACAGTATTATTATTTTGACATTCTTCAGGAAATGTTAATGGTTGAACAAATGAAAGTCTGACGTCTGAACAATGTGATGTACAAAGAATATAGTTGTTATTATTATTAGCGAAGGAATTTTTCACGAAGATGCATGACAAAAAGATTAGACAGCAAAAAAATCGCATGCTGATTGCTATCGATCAATGAATGAATGGTGGAAGAGACTATGTGCGTGTTTGGCTTATCTTCTCACTTGACGAAACTACGTCTGCATCCCATCGAATAAAAAAAAAGAGCGGAAGCAGAAGAAAAAATAGCGCGCACGCAGACACACAAACCCGCTCCCGTTCTTAACGACCTTTAGGTGTAGCTATATTCCTCTCGAGAAAAACAGAGAGAGCTTGGGAATAATAGAAAGAAAATCACCTAGTAAAAAGGGCATCTAGAAAAAGACGAAGAAAAAAGAACTCAATGTATAAACGTCGAGTTGATGAAAAAAAGATACCAAAATAATCTTTCAAAAAAAAAACTATTCTATTGAATAACTATATTTTTCGACGATAATAAATGGCAAACAAGCAGAATTGACAGAACAGAACGAGCAAGAAAAAAAAGAGAAAAAAAAAATTACTTAGAGACCAAAGATGTATCAGTGTGTTTGCCTTTCTATTTTTTTTGTCATGAATGAATAGTAAACACAAAAAATACTAATGATTGACATATACGTCATAATCTGCGACAATAATATAAGCGCAGGATGGAAATCGATGCTATTTTGTACATGAAACAAATCTTGTCCTTGAGGGTTATGTCCTATCAACCAAAATACATGGGTCATTGGAGTAAAGAATAAACAGAATATTTACTTGGTTGCACGTATGCAAAGACAAAAAATAATATCTTGCTTCACTATTGGTTATTATTTTATAATTCTAATACAATGCAAATGACGATGTGATTATTCGTAATCTATTATTAAGATTAGAATATCAAATATAATCCTTGTTTAAAATTTTTGCTAAGAATGCAGTGCCTCGATGTTAAGTCAATAGTATGTGATATGATTAGAAAAGAAAAGTGATAATGTGTTAATTAACTTGGATCACGATACTACAAACAGCTAAAGAAAACAAGATGTATGTTTAGAGACCTTCAATAGATTCCAGTGGTGTTTGATAAATGTCAAAATTCAATGCCATTAGCACACTATTTTTTTGTTAATCGACTAACCTAAACATTACTTAAGATATTTTCGATAACATATCTTGATTGATGTCCATTATTCAATATTTATATCCAGGAAAGCTTGGATAATACTTTAGTATTATTACTTCTCGTGTGTCATTAATAATAAAAAAAAGCATATATATAATCCTCTGTCTATGCATTTATACCCGGAAGAGCTTCGAGTTCTATAAAGGCATGAACAAAAGAAGAATTTACATAAAAAAGAAAAATTAATATTATGCTTTTGTTCTTTATTTATTATATAGATCGATTATTGAATTATATTCCAAATGTACGACATTTGATTGTTCGTCTATATACAGATTTACAAAATTTTTTCAAATATTCATCAATAATAAATTCTGATACAATAAATTCAAATATTCGTTCATTAGAAATTTCAACAATAAATAATATTCCATTTAATCAAATTGAAGATCTATTTAAGAAAACATTTAAACATTTAGAAATTTTAAAATTTTTTTTTAAAACTGATGCATTAAGTCAATCATGTTATGATTATATTGATCATAAACGATGGGAAGATTTACTTCAAAGATTTTTATCATTAAAAGATTTTCATTGTTGTTTTGAAATACCTATACAATCAGAATTAATATCAAATTCATTTGAACAAAATCAATTTTTTTGTAAACATAATTGGAAATTTTCTTTTCAAATTTATACCTATTCATTTAATACGATGTTACGTATACATACTGAACCTTATCCTAAACGACGTCTTGATATTATGTAAGTAATTTATTTTCTTCTTCTTCAATTTAATTTCTTTTTCTTTCTTTCTTCTTCTTCTTCTTCTTCTTTTAGTCCTTCAAAAGTATTTGCCGATAGTAATAATAATAATATTTATTCTCATGTACGTGATCTTCGTATATTAATTGATTCTATTGGAATAAGTATCATTAATAATTTATCGAGTATTATCTATAAACGTGTCATATCATTAACACTTGTATCAAATAAAAAATTTCATGAACAAACATTTCTTAGTTATTTATATTCAATAATTGATCGAAATAATATACTTTATTTAACAATACAACTAGATAATTGTTCAAAAAATTTTCTTTTAAATCTTATTGAAAATTTTTCTAAACTTTATGCACTAACAATATCAACATATCAAAGTTGGTCAAAATTAATTCAATTATCATCATATATATCAAAAAGCAATATACAATCGTTAATTGTTTATGAATTACTTATTAATTTTTATCAATATGATTATTTATATGAATTATTTAATCAATTAGAAATTTTATCAATTAATTTAACATCAATTGAAGATTGTTATCGATTGTTAACATTATTATTTATTGGTAATAAGAAGAAACAAATTGAAAGTTTACGATCATTAATAATAAAATGTGATTTTCATGAACCGGATGCAATAGCAAATTGGGTTCGATCGAATGTCCTTAGAAAACTATCATATAAATGTACAACAAGTACTTTGATTATTTGGCTCTGATATGACTACATATATTTAGACTATATTTTTATATGTATGTTTGTCGTAGAGAAATATATTTAAATTTTTTTTTTTTCATAATAAATAAACTATTCTAGAAGATCGAATATCCAAAATTATGAAATGTTTGTTCATCATGACTTTTATCAGATGAAAGTTCTATTTAACTATTGAATAATTTATATCTATAAAAACTTCCGTTCTAATTTGCCTATCGTTCAATCAAAATCTACTTCCGTCAAGTATTTCTATTTCCTTATTAGGACTCACAAATTAACTATATTGTTGAAGCTTATTCAGCAGTAAGTAGTTAAAACATGACTAAAAACATTTATTGATAGAGTTAATTATCTTTTTTTTTTCTGAAATATTTCAATATTTATATTTCTTATTATTTGTTCTTTAACAACTAATATGTATCTTTATTATGATGTCTATTAATCAACGATGAGTTTGATAGATAAAATTGATTTCTATATTGATAAGAATTGAATTCGACCTTGATTCTATGTGTCAAGTGATGTGTATTCTCTATTCATATGTATAACAAAATATATTTTTAATTAATCACTGTCGATTATCATCTGTCATAGCTGTATGAAAGAATGAATTAAGATTACATTAAATCTATGAAGATGATCTATCTAAAATTAATAAATCAAGATTTTATAATAAAATTCAAATCTTATTGATGACATACATTGAAATAACAAAATATATTAATGAATAAAATTCAAATCAACTCTCTTTTCTTTTTGTTTTTAAACTCTATTATGATTAAATATGTTTCGATTATGTTATTAGAACACATAGTAAATTCAGTCTTTTTCAATTATTTTTATTGAATGAATAAATGAATAAATGAATACATGAATGAATAAATGTATAAAAAAAAAAGACATTGCAAACTATAAATTCAAGGATATCTTTTCAATAGATTGTAACAGTTGCTGATATATTGAATGCTTTACAATGATTTGAGTACCATTAAACTTATTTCTTTATAATTATCTCAATATGTTGTTATTTTTTTTTCCTTTTTATGACAACATCTTTTCTCAATAGGCATATCATTATTAAAATATGTACTTTCTCTTTTCACCATGAACTTTTCATAATATTTAACATTAGAATGTCTATACATTACTGATATTATTGATGATGTAGTATGCAATAGCACGACATTTTCTCATTTTTCACAGTTCTTTTCAATCGACAAGGTTAATAAATACCTGTATATTAATTTTGTTTGTATGTTGTAATCATGTCTTTATTGATCTTTTCCATTGTTCTTGCTCAAAGATATATGATTACAAGTGAGATATACATAATAGTTCATATTGTAATCACAAGAGCATGATTGCCGCCAGCTGGGATGTATGCTTACCCAGTAATTTCTAGCTTGATTATGGAGGTTCCATATTGTCACTTTCATTTTATGTATCATTATATCGCATCACCGGAAATAATAAAAAATATACTCAACGAAAAAAAAAAAAAGCAACCCTTTGATTACTTTATGTATCTGTTCTTATTCTCATCATAACGAACATATTGTTCATAGTGTCTAAAATAATATGCCTGTTTGACAATTATACTATCACTATTTATCATAATGATTGTGTTGTATTGATTGATTTTTTATTACTTGACCTTTGTTTATTCGTTTATTCCATGTGCCAATTATTTCTAATCTAGTATTAAAGAATTATTTTCGACTGTGTGATTATATATGCAAATGTGTATTTGATTGTTTAGATATTTTCTATGATTTTTTTTTTAAAGAAAAACTAATTATATGAAAGAAAAAAGAACATTGTTCATATTCATAGATATCTTGATTAATCAGACAGAGAAGAAAATGATAAGAAATCTATGATTATTTTCATAGTTGTTTCTATTCTCCAAAGTCATTAGATAATATGATATGAATGACCTTGAGATAGTCATTAAGTAACTGTACTACTAAATATGTATATCTTTCGAAAATTACATACAACTTTAAATAAACTTTTGAATTGTCACGCACGTAATTATATTTTATACTTAAATCTAACTAATCTAGATCGACATATATTTAATTGCTTTCATGTTCGAAGATATAAATCATATTAATTTAATATACAACTATTTTTGATCTTAAAGTTGCGTGTATATTTAGTACTTTCTTATATGAAAAATAAGCTTAGAAAATGATCAACAACGAACTGTCATTCAGTGAAATCTCAGGGTTGATTGTAGTTTAATTAAAAATGAAAGCAGAAAAAAAAGAAGAAAAAGAAAAATCAAAATGAAAACATGTCAAAGAAGATATATCAAAATAGGCTAATACATCGAAACTGAAAATATATCGTAGTCAGAAAAAATCAAAAATCTCTTTAGAAATTTTTGAGGGATAAAATACACTTTTTATTTGTGTGATGTAATGTTAACATGCTGATACAAATCATTCGAAGGTCAAGAGAT